AAAAAAAAAAAAAGATGAATGGATACAGAAATGGTACATACATATAGCAGAATGTTATTCAGCCTTAGAGAGGAAGAAATTCTGATACATGTTTCAATTTTGATGGATCTTAAAAAATTATGCAAAGTGAAATAAGCCAGACATAAAAGACAAAAAATATTTTATGATTTCTTTTAAATGAGGTACCTAAAATAGACAAAGTAGCAACAGAGAGGACATAGAGGCTGAGCACGGTGGCTCATGCCTGTAATCCAGGCACTCTGGGAGACCTAGCTGGGTGGATTGCTTGAGCTTATGAGTTTAAGACCAGCCTGAGCAAAAATCAAGACCCCCTTCCTACTAAAAATAGAAAAACCAAGGCAAGTGGATCGCTTGAGCCCAAGAGCTTGAAGTTGGTGTGAGCTATGTCACCTTGTCAAGGGCAACATAGTGAGACTGTCTCAAAAAAAAAAAAAAAAAAAGGAAGTGACTCTATCAAGTGTTGGTGAGGATATGAACCTACTAGAACTCTCATACATTCATGGTGGGAATTTAAAATGACACAAGAACTTTCCATAACAGTTTGGTAGTTTCTAATAAAGTTAGAAGTATACTTTCTATGCAATCTACAAATATTCTACCTAGGTATTTACCTGAAAGAAATGATAATGTAGGCCAGGCGCAGTGGCTCAAATCTGTAATCCTAGCACTCTGTGAGGCTTAGGCGGGCCAATCCCTTGAGCTCACAAGTTTGAGACCAGCTTGAGCAACAGCAAGACCTCGTCTCTAATAAAAATAGAAGAACTATTCTATCAGGGAGATGTGGTGGGCACCTATATCCCAGCTTCTCAAAAGATTGAGGTAGGAGGATCACGTGAGCCCAAGAGTTTGAGGTTGCTGTAAGCTGTGATACCAGAGCACTTTACCCCAAGGCGACTAAGTGAGACTTTTTCTCAGGAAAAAAAAAAAAAAAAGAATTAAACTAGAAATCAGTAACAGAAAGCTATCTGGAAAATCCCAAATATTTGGAAATTAAAGACATTTTAAAATAAGGAACAGTTAAAAAAGTAACTAGGGCAATTAGAAAGTATTTTTAATTAGATGAAAATAAAAATGCAAGGGGGGACCCTGCAGGGTACTGTAGGCTGGCGGGCTGATGGGATGGCGGATGAGGAAGAACACCCCGCTTTTGAGGAAGAAAATGAAGAAATTGGAGGAGGTGTAGACGGTGGACAGGGTAAAAGAAAGAGACTTTTTTCAAAAGAATTGAGATGTATGATGTATGGTTTTGGAGATGATCAGAATCCTTATACTGAGTCAGTAGATATTCTTGAAGACCTTGTCATAGAATTCATTACTGAAATGACTCACAAGGCAATGTCAACTGGAAGACAAGGTCAAGTACAAGTTGAAGATATCGTCTTCTTGATTTGAAAGGACCCCAGAAAGTTTGCTAGGGTTAAAGACTTGCTTACTATGAATGAAGAATTGAAACGGGCTAGAAAAGCATTTGATGAAGCAAACTATGGATCTTGACATCTTTTGTAGTTTCTGAAACTCCATTATATTCTAGTGAAACCATATGTAATGATTGTTATATTTTCTGCAGTAATGTCCTGATATCTACCTATGTAAATGAAAGATAGAAAAACAGAATT